CGTTTCAAAACTTTGTTTGAAAAAAAAAAAAAAACCAAAAAAAAAAAAAAACCTGTGCATGATAATCATTCTATGACATCATTTAGTTATTGCATACTTTTTTATCCTAACTTTATTTATGAATTTTGTTGTTATATAAAATGACTATAAAGATAATATCAAGAAGTGGGCTGTAAAGTTCATTTTTTCTTTGCATCCATTTGAGTTGAACCCTTTAAACAAGTGTAGAGATGGCATAATGTTATAAATTGCTAATATATTAATTTAAGAAGTTGAAGTGTAATAATATCTTTGATGTGTAAGGCATGTGTCACAAAGCTGGTTGTATGTAATTGAAGAATATTAATAGTATTTTGGTTGATGATGTTATTGCTATTGAATGCAAATCTGAGCTCAAGTGGACTTAAATCATATTTAATGTTCAAAGTCTTTTATGGGCATTACTATAGTCATAGAGAGATAATATATTGACTGCTTGCCTTTCTGCAGACCCATTGTTGCTAGTAAAGTTGAGATTGAGAAGCCTAACAAACAAGCTGGATTCGTTGGGCATCTTCTTCTTGACAAATTCCGAGTTCAAAGACAAAATCAAGAGAGAGTAACTTAAATTCCTTATGAACTATCAATTCAAAAAATTTTCAATTTTCATCATATATTTGATGTACCTATTTGTCCTATTTCCTTTTTAGTTTAGAAGAAAAGAGTGTTGTTTGACATGTTATGTCTTTTTATTTTATAGAAAAAGGCGGTATCAACATCCCACTGTTCTCAGCCCAATACATTTGAGTATGATCTAGCCATGGAGTGGTGCATGCTGCAGGAAAAATCAGATTTGTGGTGGAAGGCACTATATGAGGTGAAACTTCTAATATACTTAAATTTGGGCTATTATGCAGAGAAAATCCATGTGATTTTTTCATTGTTTTCTGTTTAGCAAACAAAGCATGTTATAAAAACAGGAATAACGGTTACCCACATATAAACCAAGTGATTTTTCTTTATTTTCTCCAGAGGTTTTAAACATATTTCTGTTAAATCTGCTTGATCTCTACAGGAACAAGCCAAGGAGATAGAAGTTAGCAAACAGCTAAAGATGATTTCTACAATTTCATAGTCCCATCCCAAACCATTTGCTGCTGGTAAAACATACATCTTCTTTTATAATCTACGTGTTGATTCCCCCTTGTGCTCTACATAGTAAGTGTGTTCTAATCTCAACAACGTCTAATGATGCATTCCATCTTGCAGGAGGAAATTTTGTTGTTTTGTTGTAGGTAAACAGAGTAAAGTACAAGGCTGATCCCTTTTTTTGGGCAGTATAAAGGGGCATGCCCATGTCAATGGTTGGAAAACAAGACTAGAAGCTTAGAGTTAGAATGAGTTGGATCTTCAGTTTTTGGTGTAAATCCAATTCATTGATCATTTGGTCTATAACAAAATTTGTTGTTACCTTGAAGCATTCGTAACTGAGTGGTGTTCTTTGATCTTCATTTTCACATATGTTAAGATCCTGGGTTGAGGCAAACTCATGTATTCAGTGTCAGGCATGGCATGAAAGAGGAATTTGAATCTATGAGTAGTTTAAAACTCAGTGTACATCTCAGAAAGTATTTTAATTTTTTTATTGGTAAGGGTTTGCCTCGAGTAGTACGGTCCAAAACCCGAGTTTAATTTTCTGGTTGTCCAAAAACTCCTAGTTTGTGTGATCGTGGAGACCTTCTACTGTATCTCCAGAATACCACTGATTAATCATTTTCTTTTATACTTCATTAATCATTTGACCAAAAGGGTGCATGCTTTTATTGGTCTAGGATACTGCACCAACGGTATCTCAAGAATACAGCAGAATTTTTTGTGGTCATGAGGTCCAGTTACGGCTATTAGCACAATTGTCAAGGTCACTAATATTCTTTCTTTTATTTTGTTAGATTTCTTATATGCCCATTCAATATAAGAAGACATGCATTTTCAACCTTACTCTGATCACTTGAATTGAGTGGGCGAATAAGTAATAGAACAAAATCAAAAACAAGATGTTGATGGCTTTAACAATTGTGCTGGTGGCCATAACCGGGCCTAACGGTCAGATGTACATGTTGTTTCCTGTTGGGTATTCTGGGTACTGTCCTAGCTGTAAGGTTAAGCAGGTCGGGAGAATACTCGATCAAGGACCCAATAAGTGAGGATATAAATGATGAACAAAGTTAATGGAAGAGGCAAAATTTCGTGGTAGAATGGCTGACTAGGAGTTTCTGATAAAAAAATTCTTTCTGAGGTGATTTTTGAGCAAGAATTTAAACTCGAAGCAACTATTAAATCAACATTTCTGAATTTCCAAAGCTTGCTGGTAGTGTTGTTGAGGCATAGACAGAAAATAACAGTAACAGCTCATGCATGTGCATTTTTCTGAGGTTTGGAAGTACAGACAAACGAATGGTGACCTAATACATAAACTACTACTCCTTGGAGGATTTGTTGATGAGTGATTTGTGAATGTGAGGAATAACACCTCCACCAGCAATGGTTCCCTTGATAAGAGTGTCAAGTTCTTCATCTCCTCGGATAGCCAACTGCAAATGCCTCGGTGTGATACGTTTAACCTTAAGATCCTTGCTTGCGTTTCCTGCCAGTTCAAGCACTTCTGCAGTCAGATACTCCAGTATTGCTGCCGTGTAGACAGCAGCAGTTGCACCAACTCTTCCATTTGCACTAACCCTAGTTTTTAGAAGGCGATGGACCCTACCCACTGGGAACTGCAGGGAATACACAAGAAACAATAGGATCAATAGTCATTATAAAACTCAGTAACTCACAAATGGACTAACAAAGGTATTATGGAAACTTTCTGAATCTTGTTTTCATTTCAAAAGCACAGACAATTAGCAAACATGTAGAAGCCCAAAAGTCAGGTAATTCTCATATCCAAACAAGTAAACTAATTGGCAGATCTCTAAATCGGTCAGGCTTGCACCTTTGGCTTACTAATCTTAGAAGGTTAGAACAATTATAAAGCAAATTGGTGCCTCCCAGAAGTATAAAGCTTACTCAACTGGTCAATCCTATTCTAACTATGTCAAAGTAATGCAATAAATTCAACAAGTTGTCTATGCAGCACAACAGAATGACATAAGTTCATTATTTTCATTTTTTAAGTATGTTCATATCTTTCTAATTCTTTCTTGTGGGTCTCAATCCCCTTTTGGAATAAACTATCAGAAGAATAACGCATATTTTAGTTCTCTATTTGTCTTTGAATAATCTTGGAATTTACATATGTAATCACTGAAAAAAGAAGCATCCCAATTGCTAAGCAAATTATATAATAACTCACAAGACTCAGTCTTTTCCCTACTTTACATGTAGCAAGGTTTTCTGGAGCATTACTAAACAATTTGAGATTTTCACCCCAAAAAAGATAACAACAAAAGAAATATTACTCTATAAATAGCATACTATAACAACAACAAAGTGTTTCAATAACAACAACAAAGTGTTTCAATAACAACAACAAAGTGTTTCAATAACAACAACAAAGTGTTTTAGAAAAAAGCCACCTATAAAACTCTTTAACTTAAATTAGAATTTAATTCACTTTCATAACCACAGCATATCAACCAAATGAAGCATAGTAGCATCATTGCCCTTATTCCATGCTCTACTATACTCCACTAGAAGCAAAAGCAAGGTTATTAACATTTCCTCCTACATACCCCATGCTGTAAGCCCCCTCCTTAATAGAATTCCCGCTCCTATAACACAGTTCTGAAGAAAAAGGCTTTCTGAAACTCCTTCCCCTAATCTATTTTCCTGTTTTCCTTTCTGTGTATTCCTGGGTATCAGAACCAGTTACCAGTCATATCTAGATGAAGCACCTTCCTCAAAACTTATACCATAGAGCTCAGAATAAACAAATTTTAATAGGGATTGAGGATGCCCAATAAAGTCTACATTGTTCATACACAGATTGCAAACATCAATTCAAGGGAAGGTAGCAATAGTCAGTGAGCATACAGCGAGGCAAACTGATAAAACTTTGGACATGATAAGATAAATTCTTTAGGTTGCAAATTAATCACAAAATAACAAGATTTTAATTTTTATGGCCAGAGTATGACAAGCGATTGTTCAACTAGCATCCTCTGCTACTTAGGCAATGGTTTAGCAGTCCAATTATCTATGAACATTTCCACATGGAGGGTGGCCACAAATGTTTACTGGGTACTGAAATCTTGAGAATGAATTAAGTTCCTGACACTGATGGGCCTCAAGAAAATGACACTACAGTCAGCTAACTATCACTTTTGGACTCAAAATGCATTAATGTCACTTTAACTCCCAAAACCTGATGGAAACAACAGTAACAAGTTACAAACCGGAAAATCCACAAACTTCTAGTTTCCAATAAAATGCCAAGGCATCCGTTTAATAAAACTCTGTTAAGTCAAAAAGTTGACAAATTCAACTAACTATTCCTCTTGACTATTGGTAATACTTTAGTTGACAGGTCATGATTTGACTTAGTAGAGTGCCTTATTTCCACATATTACACACTACCTAGTTTACAACTGCAAGAACACAGTTTCCTTAGATCACATTCACATGGTAAGCTTATAGTTGAGAAGATAGTTAGCTTAAGTTCTTAACGTGTCAGAATATCACAAAAAGTTAAAGAAATTCACTCTTTCTACCATTTGTTCCTACAATTCTCACCACTGGGGTCTAAAGAAACAAAATAAATCGTGGGTTAATGCTATCTAGAGTGCTTGAACATCACTGAACCCAAAGGTTGCTTCCCCACTGAACAACCCGTAACATCCCGAAACTAATCCTAATCTCGATGTCAATTTAGCCTCAAAAGAGAAAACACTAAAGATTTCCTAAGGAACAACATAATATTAAAGTAGTAAAGTAGTAAAGTAGTGAAATTTAACAACAAATTAATCTGGTGCTACATTACATCTGCATCGAAACAAAAATTGGATTAAAGAAACAAATTTGAAACCAGGGAGGGACCTGAAGACCGGCACGGGAAGAGCGAGATATGGGTTTCTTCTTGTCCTTGTCTTTTATGGATTTGCCTGCCGTGATCAAGCCTTTTGCACCCTTTCCCGACATTCTCCGGCGAAAAAGTCAAGGCTTTCTTCTTCCTCTTTGAAACCTACAAAATCGAAGAGGATAGAATTGCACAGAGGAGATGTGACGGAGACGAAGACGAAAGAAGGAAGGAGAGGTAAATTGGCCCCAGATCTATTATATCCTCATTTGGACGAAATTGCCCTCGTCACATATTCAGATATTACAAACAGATCATGCCCTGCCCATTTTAGGGACTGTTTGTATCAGTTACTATGAGTTTCAGATTGTTTATATTTTATAAATTTAATTTTTTTTAAAAGATGTACACTTTAAAATATTTTTTTAATTT